AGGTTAAATAAAACAAAAATATTGGTGGTAATTTTTGACTGTGTAACTTTACAAACGACACCACATAACATTACATTTAGAAAAATTTTAAACACTCGCAACCTTAAAACTCAAGTTTTCATATAAACGTGTTTGTTTGTCTGTTTGTTACAAAAAAAAAAATCTCATGAACCATGAGCCTCTTTGCTCTGTGCCAGCAGTCCTCATCCCCAGACTCTGGTCTGAATCTGGGCCCCGATAGGATTTTGTCGGGACCACAAAGCATTTTGTAATTTACTTTTATTTAACATTTTATTCTTGTTGTCAGCAGCATCTGTGTTTTAAACAGGTGTGACAGGTAAAAACACACGTCAGCAACATCCTTGAAGTCCTAACACAAGTTACTAAATACAATGACTTGGTGCACAGACAAGTGAGTAAAAGAAGATATGTCAACAACAGGTAAAGTGGACTATAAAAATTACACATTTAAAGATGAATGCATACGGTTGTGTTTAAAACTTGTCGTGTGTAAGGTCAGTCTGCCTCATTTGTTCTGAAGGTGTCGGTCACATAAAAAGGGGAAATCTAAAGAGAAATTAGGAAACCAAACACAAGAACATGTGAGGTTTCAGGCAGGAAAAGACCCAGGGCACAGCCAGGCTCAAAAAGGTGTCAAAATAAAGAACTCAAAATGCTGGCGAGGCAGTTAAAAACTGACAAAAAACTCTAGGAGAACACGAAGAAAAACACAGGCTGAGGGAAAACAGCACAATGAACGGACAGCGACAAGATCACAAGACACTGAATATAAAGGGAAACTAATTAGGGACAACAAGAAACACCTGGAGAAGACCCAAGAGGAAACAGGTGAGTGTGGGCAGGGCTGCAGGACAGAGAAACACAGGGGAACACAGAAACACTAGAAAAACAAAGAAAACAAACACAGACTGTGACAGAACTTGAACCAAAGCTCCAGTATGTGCCTGGATCTGATGGGAGGAGGAGGAGAACACCAGAACTATGGAGACAGTATGAGTGAGCTACACAGCTGATAACGCTGTGCTTCTTCATCTCATCAGCACCGCCTGCTTCATGAGTTTTAAAGCAGGGAGTGCAGAGGTCAGTGACAAGTCCGAGTGCTGGCACGCTTCTAAGGGCTACGACTTGAAATCAAAACGTTTTTGTCACAACAACAAAATGACAAGGTCAGTGAGTTTTTGTACTTTCTGGAGGACAAGAAGAAGACGGAGAAATATAACTTTTCTTATATTACATTAGATTACAGCACACCTCAATGACCTCAACTTGAGATTACAAGGAAAGAACAACTCTGAGTGTGACTTGATAACAGATGTCGTCTTTTCAGAGAAAGCTTAAGTTTGTCAAAGTATTTATAGCAGTTTACAGCACCTTTTTATGGTTTGTGTTTATGTAATGTTAATATACTGCATGTAATGTTAATATACTGTATGTAATGTTAATATATGTAATATTAATATACTGTATGTAATGTTAATATATGTAATGAAAATATACTGTGTGTAATGTTAACATATGTCAGGTTAATAAACTGTATGTAATGTTAATATATGTAATGTTAATATATGTAATGTTAATAAATGTCATGTTAATATATGTAATGTTAATATACTGTATGTAATGTTAATATATGCTATGTTAATATATGTCATGTTAATATATGTAATG